GGGCGGGGGCTGGTGGCGAGAGGGGGGCGTTTCTCGGACCCGCCCTCGATGTCCTCCAATGGCAGGGCGGGAGTTTGGTCCGAGGGGCGGTACCTTAGGGGCGCAGCAGGGTCCCGCCCACTGCTCTGTCCCGCCCCTCGGGTCCCGCGCGCGCGTGGTCGGACGCGCTCGCTCCTCCCTGGGAGCGCGCTGAAGCGCCCCCGCCTCGCTCACTCCCTTGCAGATCCCGGGCCGGGGGGCGGCTGAAGGGTTTTATTTGCCCTCGGCGTCCTTGCCTTCCTCCTGCTGACCCACTCGGCATCTTTCAAAGCCTCGTTTTCTGAAGGTGCCCTGGGATCTTCCGCACACCATCCTCTATCACTCTGAATTTGGGGCTTTGGAGAGGTGGAAGGGGGCAGCGCTGAAGGGCTCAATAAAGCGGCGTGAAACCTCGTGCGGGAGGGCAGCCGCCCGTGGCGCCGCGCGTGCGCACAAGCCCCGCGCCCGCGCCCCCGGCGGTCCTGGGTGGTGCCGCCGGCACTCGCAGCGCCGCACCACCCCCGGGCCCCGCTGACCTTTCCCTCTCCGCTTTCCTCCCCCTGCGTCCAACAGCCGCTCCCTGGAGTAGGTCTGTTTAAAAGTGAAGGGAGAAGCGAGCGGAGTTAGTAGTATGTAAAAAGGATTTTCTGATTTGAAGGCAGAAGCTAATGGTGTGCGCGTGTGTGTGTGTTTTGTTTTTTAATTCCCTTTAAATTACAGGTCGTTCTCATTCGAGGTCCCTTCCAGGGTTGGTTCTTTCTAGTTCCTTAATTAGAGGACAATGCAATCCATGGTTGCCAACTCATGCTATTTGGGAACGTTGGGGACAACATCCATAGTCGAAGGGGGCACTGGAGAACATCTCCTTTATTAATGTGAAAAACTCATCTCGTATCATATATGAGGTGAAAGGTACAGTGGGAAAAGCAGTGAACATGGGTGAGAAAACAAGGTCATGAGTCAACCCTCGCACTTCTCTGGAAAATGGAGACAGAACTATGATGTAATTTCCAAAGCTGTTCTCACCTTTGAAATTTGTGAACCAGGGTTTTTCTGGAATACGGTGGATGGGATAGGGAATGGGAATGCGCGGCCCTCCCCTCAAAACATTTTGCAATAATGCTTATTATAGGCCAACTTCTTGCAAAGAGCATATTTCCTTTTGATAAACAATTTTGTTTACAGAAGCAAATGCAGTTCAGGGGAGAAAAAAAATAATTTGTGCTGTTTGGATCTGCAAAGGAACCCCAAAAAGTAGGTCTGCATAATTAAGGCAATCAATATGCAAGACTCTTTATCCCTAAAACTGCCAGAAAGATACCATATCTAATTTTAAGACTACTTGGCACCAACTTCCTTTCTCAGTTCATGTTGCTACAGCACAGGTCTGGCTGAGTGGTATGCCAGTTGATTCCCCGACTCCCTTTATCAATCCATCATAAGTGGACCTTCCAGAAGCTGACATCTCAACAAACATTTCTTTGACATTATTTGCAAGAGCAATTGTCAAGGCCACTAAGAAATTCCATCTCTGTCTTCTAGGTCAGAAAAAAATCCCCTGCTCTGTTAGAATGGATTGGTCTAGCAATACATCTCTTTCATAAACGTAGTATGCCATGTTTATACCTTCAACTAAATCCTTTGAATGTACATTGCTCTTTTAATTGAGATTATAACACCTAGACCATCTTTTTTTTTTTTTTTTTTTTTATAATGTACTGACTTTCTGAATACACTTAAAAGGATAAATACTCCTTTCAATGCAGAGGAGAAGAACAGGTATTGCTCTAGCACAGGGTCAAAGCCAAGGGAACTATAAAGCACACTTGGGTGTTCACTGTGCAATACCTAGACCATCTTTAAACAATAATATAAATTAGGAGAGGAATGAGATTTTTGTGGAGATACATATGGTGGTAGGGGTCCCAATAAAATCCACTCTGGGAGCCCCAGTTCTACCCTTGCACTTGTATTTGGCAAGGGTTTTTTTTGTTTGTTTGTTTTTTGTTTCATTTTTTTGGTCATGAGACTTTCCAAACTTCTAGGCTTTAAATATTTAGTGGATTGAATGCACTTAATTTTAAGGCAGAGATTTGAATTCTGGGAGCAAATACCATGTTTGAAATGTATGAGTGTGGTTAGTTTTCTTCTTAAATATTTTTTAATGAAATATACACACAGAACAATGTACAAAATAAGAATGTACAGCTCATTTATTTATTACAAAGTGACCTTCTATCTGTTTCCACTCATACTGAAACAATTGAAAGAGACATGACCAACTAAATGCAACCTATATTCCTGGGTAAGAGCCAGACAAGGAAAGACAGAAATTGTTGAGACTAACATTTGAATGGGGTCTGTGAATTATGCATTAGTTTGTCACCATTGTTGATTTCTTGATTGGAGACTTGTGTGCCGATTATAGAAGAGAGTGTCCTTGTTTGGGGGCAGCACATACTAGAGTGTTTAGGAGTGATGAGACATCATATTTGTTGCTTGCCCTCAAAATGTTCAGAAAAAGGAATGGGAATAAATAGACAACATAGGAACAAATGCAAGAAACATTAACAACTGGAGAATATCCAGGTGAAGGGGTATGCAATTTTTTTGTATTGTTCTGACATTTTTTTCTTTAAGTTTGAAGTCATTTAAAATAAATTATTTTTTAAAAATAATTAGGTTAAGGGCTTAAGTATCAAAAACAAAGCTTTAAAATACTAAGTGATTGCCTGAGTCCGCGGGTTCGAGACCCGCCTGGGCAGCAAGACCTCATCTCTACAATAAATC